CATCTTCTCGCCTTTAGCTTCATAAGTTTCCTCTATCTGTTTTACTACCAGCTGGGAATCACTACAGATCTCCAACTGCTCAACTTCCATTGAGTGAGCCAGATTAAGTCCAACAATGATGGCTTCATATTCTGCCTCATTATTTGAAGCTTTAAATCCAAACCTGAGGGCGTATTCGACATCTATCCCGTCTGGAGAGGTCAGTATCAGGCCTGCGCCACTTCCTTGAGCATTAGCAGCTCCATCCACAGAGAGCTTCCATGTAGGAAGGCCAGGTACTAGCTGCGTTACTTCCATAGGTGCTGGTGTTGTAAATTTCGTGATGAAATCTGCTAAAACCTGACCTTTGACTGCAGTTCTAGGATTGAATCTGATGTCAAACTCGCTGAGCTCTATGGCCCACTTTATCAGTCTCCCTAAAGACTCTGGCTTATGCAACACTTATTTCATTGGTTGTTCTGTTGGAACCTCGATGGTATGAGCCTGAAAATAAGGTCTGAATCTTCTAGCCATAGTTACCAACGCTAAGGCAAGCTTTTTCATTTTCGGATATCTCTCCTCCACCCCCCTCAGAGCTCTACTGCAATAGTAGACTGGTTACTGAGACCTGTCTTGCTCTCTCACCAGAGCTGCACTAGTCAAGAAATCTGAAACAGCTAGATAGAGGGTTAGTACCTCCCTTGTAAGGGACTTACCAAGATAGGAGGGGAGCTCAGGTAAGCCTTCAAGGCATTGAATGCCTCTTCACACCGAGCATCCCATAAAAATGCATTTTTTAAGATTTGAAAGAAATGTCGGCATTTATCATTTGATTTGGAGACGAAACGACTCAAGGCAACTATTCTTCCTGTCGAGCGCTGGATCTCCTTTACATTAGAAGGTGGCTGCATATCTAAGACTGCCTTAACCTTTTCTTGGTTGGCCTCGATTCCTCTACTGTTGACTATGAAACCTAAAAATTTCCCTGCAAATACTCCAAAGGCACACTTTGCAGGATTGAGTTTCATCTTGTATTGCTTAATGACTTGGAATGATTTTGCTAGATGTGCAATGTGGAGTTCTGCCTTCATTGACTTCACCAGCATATTGTCGATATATACCTCCATAGATGTTCCAATTTGACCTTGGAACATCCGATTCACTAGGCGCTGGTAGGTGGCTCCTATATTTTTCAGTCCAAAAGGCATGGCCTGGTAACAGTATGTTCCCTGCTCGGTTATAAAGAAGGTTTTCTCTTGGTCGGCTAGATCCATTCTGATTTGATTAGATCCTAAGAAAGAGTCCATGAAATTGAGGAGTTCATGTCCAGCTGTGGCATCTACTATTAGGTCTATCCGTGGTAAAGGAAAGCTGTCCTTGGGGCATGCTCAGTTGAGATCAGTGAAGTCAATGCACAACCACCATTTGCCGTTGGTTTTCTTGACAAGAACCACATTAGCTAGCCAGGTAGGGTAGTCAACTTCCCTAATGGCTTTGGCATGGAGGAGTTTACTGACCTCCTGATTGATTACCTTTTGGCGTTCTAGGGTAAAACTCCTTCATTTTTGCTTGACCGCCTAGCAGGTGGGATTCACACTAAGCTTGTGTGTGATGACCAAGGGTTCGATTCCTTCCATGTCTTCTTGCTTCCAGGTGAATACTCCCCTATTCTCCTTTAGGAATTGGATGAGGAGGTCTTTTATTACCTTGCTTAACTTAGACCCGACGTAAACAAGATGCTCAGGCTCCTCATCGAGCTAGATAGGCTCTAGCTTCTCTGATGGTGTTGGTCCAGTATCCATCTCGTCCCTCATATCTAGTTCATCTAATTGGACATTCTCGACTTCCTTCTATTTCATCGAGGTCATGTAACACTCCCTCGTTACCCGTTGGTCTTCTCGGACCATTCCAACTTTATTTTTCGTAGGAAATTTCATCACTAAGTGATAGACAGAGGGAATTGCCTTCATCGCGTTGAGGGAGGGCCTCCCGAGAAGCATATTATATGCAGACGGGGCATCCACCACTAGGAATCTCACTGTGGTGGTGGCCTGGCAGGGAGGATCTCCCATGGTGAGGACGAGTTGGATTGAGCCTAGGGGCAATACCCTTTTTCCTGCGAAACCCAACAAGTGAGCACTGACCGGCTCCAACTTTTCCCTACCTATATCCATTTTGTCAAACGCAGAAGTGAATATGATATTTGCTGAGCTCCCGTTGTCAATTAAAACTCGGTAAACAGTTCTATTAGCCACAACAGCTCTGACCACTAGTGGATCATCATGGGGGTGCTGATAGCTTTCTAAATCTAAGTTTGAAAAGGTGATAACCATGTTCAGCCGAGGCACCTTGGACACTGTGTGTATTTCCAGCACTTCACCAGCTCTGATTCTGCGCAAGTGCACCTTCTGGGCAGAATTGAACTCCCCACCCCCGGCGAACCCACCAGAAATTACTTTGATTTCTCCAGGGGTTGTTGGTGTAACGTAGGAGCTTGTTGCTGAGGTGGAGGAGGTGGAGGGGCTCGGTCCTGATTATACCGAGCTACATAACGGTGTAACTGACCCCTCTAGATTAGGAATTCAATCTCTTTCTTCATTGGATGCAATCATCAATATAGTGGCCATGATCTCTATGGTATTCGCAATACTTTGTGGGATCCCTCTTTGTTAGGTCTGCTTTCATTCGAGGTGACCATCTTAAAAACTTCTCGCTCTGCACCTTGTATAAGATCTGAGATATTGTTGTGGTGAGTGGGGGGATCTGCCGAGGTGCGTACCTTGGCTATAGCTCTAGCCGTGGCGGACCTAAGTGATCTCTGACATCTCCCCTCCTTTTGGGGGAACGATCTTTGTTCCTTCTTGGAGACTTGTCACGCCCTCTTCCTCTTCTGGGACTTCGGTCCCTTTTTCTTTTCTCTTTCCCTTTATCTTTTTGCGTAGATGAACTTCCCACTTTTGAGAGAAGGGCCTCATCACCATTTATGTATTTTTTTCCTTAGCCAATACCTCAGCCATGCTTGCTTGAGGGTTCTTTGAAATAGAGAACATTAGATCTTTGGATTGTACGCCTAGACCAGCTATAAAGGCTGTAATGGCGAACTTCTCATCTAGGACATCCACTTTCAGTGATTCCGAGTTGAACTACTGGACATAAGACCTAAGGTTCTCTTGGGGTTCCTATTTCACGTTCAATAAATGGTAGCTCGGCTTTTGGTATATCTGACCTCCTATGAAGTGAGGTACGAAGGATAAAGACAGCTCTTTAAAGGAGGAGATTGAGTCCGAAGGGGCGCCTATTGAACCATGTCAAAGCTGACCCTTTTAGCGTGGTGGCAAAGGCTCTACAGCGCACTGGATCTTGGTATCCATGGAGCTCCATCTGATTTTTATAAGTATTTAGGTGGTCCACAGGGTCCTTTGTCCCATCAAAAGCTTCTATCTGCGGCATTCTGAATTTTGGGGAGGGGAAAATGCAACACCCCTGTAGAGAATGGCGACTCAGTTTGTTGTACTAGGGCATCCATTGTAATTGGAATTTTGTTCTTCATAGCTTCCTTCATATGACTAAGCTCTTGCTAGATACCATTAAAGCGTTGATCCCAATACTGCTATTTCCTCTCCTGTTGATAGGGGAAAAAATCATTCATTTCATCCCCAACGTTTTGACTTTGCACCTCTTCGTTGCATCCATTCCTTGGGGGTGGATAAGGATCTTGTCCCCAAGTCTGACTATTTTCCCCTCCTTCACCAACTTCTCTAAGGGGGTCAAGATGTTGTTGCCCTCCTTGAGGGAGGTTATTCTGGCCTTCTTGGGCTGGTCGTGCCTCCCCGGGGTGCTACAAGAGTTTCAAGAGCTCTTCATTCTGTTGTATCAGGCGTTGATTAACTAGACGAACAGCCTCCAACTCATTATTTGAGTGAGGATTCCTTATTAGGGGATTCACCCCTGGGATGCTTTCAGGCTGTCTATCAGTGGCGACTTCCTGTTGTTCTTGCATTCATGGTAGATTGGTCTGGCTTCTGCTCATGTTACGAGTTAAAATCATCAGTCATTGAAAGATCAGCGTATTTGTAACAAGAACAATCATTCTCATAGACGGTGCCAAACTGATGGTGTGAATCGACGCGGGTGAGCAAAAAGTGCAGGTGACGTGTGATGATCGTGGATAAGAGCTACAAGGCTCGTGTGTGATACTGGAATGTAATTCTGAGGGGATTTGAGAGGTGCACACAGTGAAAATATAGTGGTTCACAGGCTCAGGAGCTCGGCTAGTCCACTTCTTCAATGGAGGCTCTTGCTCCCTCTCTTTTATTCACCACTCTAATGTATTACAATTCGGTATATCATGAATTTAGGATTTTTTTTTTCTCCCTCCCATCTATGGAGGCGTAACATAGTATTTATAGGACTATTCCCCATTCTGTCGAATCTCAACCAAGATCTCTACCAGCCATTAGTGGGATTCTCCTTGATTTTAGGAGAAAATCTTGGTTGGTTGAGAGTTTCATGCCTTGAACCCAGTTTTTACAGTTATCCAGCTATTCTCTGGTCCGTCCCGCTATCATCTCCCTAAGGGGAGCTCTGGCCCCGAACTTCTGTGCTCCTAGCATTCTATCAGACCTCTTGACCTGACCTTGTTTCCCGAGCTCGCTCTTATGGCTTATTTGAGGTATCATCATATACTTCAACATATCCCCTTATGTTCATGCTAGATTTTGAGCTTCGCACATGAAAACTCTTTTAATAATTAGAGTGGTAGTAAAATTCGAAGACATGACTTTTTACTCTGATATCATATAAAACGTATGAGAGAATGAATTTGGTTGTATATTGAACTATTTATAGTACTGTTACAAATGTGGACTTACAACAATGAAAAGATTACTAGGAGACAAATTTATATAATCAATGGAGCAAATCAAGAGAGGATGTCTGATTTGTTTCCACCCGACTCTTATGTTTTATCATACAATTCACCAAGCATGAAAAATTAATTTAAAATTTCAGAAATTATAAAATTAAGAGACATATATTACCTGTACACGAAATGGGGACCATATACTTGGATTATCAAGCATATCCTCCCATACCGTCAGATCTCGCTCTTCGGACGCATCGGCAGATCTCAGCCACTCATCAAGGGTGGTCCCTACGCTGGCCCTTAACGTCCTAACCCCAGTTTCATTGCACTTCACCTCCCAGTTACCATCTCCTCCTTGGGTTAATCGACCCGTAACTAGCGGGTACAAGCACAAGAGATCCGAGAGGGAGACCTAAAGGTTGTCCAAGTCGAACTCGAATGTACCGTCCTTAAACGGGTTGGTCCAGTAATAAAAGATGATGTGGAGCGTGTGGAGGCCCATGGCATGGTCCAGGGTTGAGATTGTGGTCTTACCCGACCCGGTTGGAGTGCTGGACACCACCGTCAGTTTTGTGTGCACTTTCACACAGCTCTTCACCTCTCCCATTCTTACCAAATGTCTGTATCCCTCTCTCTCTCTCTCTCTCTCTCTCACACACACACAAAGAATGTAGGGCTACCCAAACTATACATACGAATTCACATGCATGTATGCTTGCTTAAGTGTTCCTGCATATGTATAGAGTATGTAGGATGTTGAATATACATATGAAGAGAGAGAGAGAGAAGCATACAAGTTATTTAGAGCAAACAGGGGAGGTGATACTGTGATAGTTGTTAATTGAGTTCATTGATGGCAGTCGGTGAAGGGGCCATGACTGGGTTGTCAATTAAATGGGAACGGATTGTTGTAAGATTTTTTCAAAATATAAAATATTTTATGGCATATTTATAATATAAAATAGAAAAAAATTCAATAAACTCTCATACGATAATCTCAAATAAGTTCTTTACTAACTCTCTTAATATGTACACATATGTTGAAATTTGAAGTGTTAAGCTATTTAATTTATTTAAAACTAAAATAAAATAACCATTTGTACACTGCTTGAAAACAAAGTTGTTAGGGAAACTTGATTTTTAAATTGCTTTGGTGGATGGACATCACATCTTCGCTTGACGGCCATTCAATCTATATAATAAAGTAGAATAAAGTTTAAATCCAAAAGACAAAAAGAGGTCCAGATTGTTTTGAGACAAAATATAAACACATTCAGCGAATAACGTAATTCTGACATAAAAGACGGTTCAAATCGATTCAGTATTATTGATCCAACGATCCTAATTGATCTACATTCCAACAATACTCAACTACGTTCTTGTTATCTCTCCTCATCTCCATTCAAAACATTTGAGAGATTGACTAAAACTCTACTTCATTCATTTTATCTCTCATCATCCCCATTTAAACTATTTGAAAGTTTGACTTAGACAGTTGTATATTTATATACATCTACACTAACAATTTAGAGACAATTTTAAATTTTCAAAATTAAAATTAATACTCTCAATTTAAAAACAAAAAAAAAAAGAGAAAAACAACTAAAATTTAATTGAAATTTAAATATACGATTTAGATATCATCCAAATTCATCTAATATAATCCTACCCAAATATTATATATGTATACAAAATTGACTAATTATCATCAATGTAAAAAGTAAAGCTAATTGTCATTTCTATAATTAAAAAATATCAATTATTCACTAACAATCTATTAAATTTATTCAATAAACGATGTTTTAAACATTATCACTAAAATATTAGTATAATAAAACTATTAAACTAAAATCTAAGAGACATAGTAAAAAAATTAAAAAATAATTGGCACATAATAAAGACTATAATCAATACTCAAATAAAAATAAAGATAATTTTTCATAGAAAAACAAAATCAAATGAAGATCAATTGAAAGCACCTTCACTTGCAAAAATCCATAATAAAATGAAGGTCATCTGAAGAAAGACATATTATAACAAAAAAAACTAAATAATTATATATATGTGTATAAATTTTAGAATATATAAATATATATATATCATATTTTTTAAAAAAAAATTGAGGATGGCCTCGTGTCCACCCTCGCCCCTGTGTAGCTCTGTCCAAATATGTCATCCTATATATATATATATATATATATATCTATATGATCCTAATTAAATTTTTATTTCTTTTACATCTTTTTCTTTCACACAACTCTCATCTCTCATATAACTTTATCTTCCGAGAGTTTGGCTTGGATGACTATATATATATCTAATAATAATATAATATATCTAATACCCATTAATACCCTAATCTCTCTGTATATCATATTCTCATTTCTCATAAGTTTATCACATCTCTCATATAACTCTCTCTATACACCCCGCCAACACACACATGTCAATATCGACTCTTACAAAAAAAAGATATTTTTTAGGTATAATGATTAAATATATAAATTGTGTACATGTTGATATTTTTTAGGGGTCGTGTTTTTAAAGAAGTTTTGTCAAATTTTTTAAAAAAATAGTGTTTTTAAATTTTGATTTGTGTAACTAAAGAAAATAATAAAAAAATAAAGTATTTTTGAAATATTTATATTGCATAACCAGTGATCGAGGTATTTTGAGTTGTTTAGTGCCTTCAGGCACGGGATATTACTAGTTCTTATATATTGCATTAGAATATTTTAATAGATGTAAACCTTTATTTTATTCTCACGGTTTGGCAATGAATTTTTGATTCAAATTCAAGGAGTTGCACCAAAATGTTCAATCAAAGAGCGTTGCAACTTTTATTATTACTAGTAATGCACCCACCACATGCGTTGCACGTGAATAGTTTTCATATATAGAAATTAATAAAATATATTAAGTATGTGTAGTTAAATTAAATATGATAGTGTAAACCGAATTGTATGAGTAATGAATCGTAATTATGCTTTGTAGTGATGGTGGTGTGATAATGAAAGAAATGTTTTTCTAGGGGCTGGGAGGATTAACATAGAAGAAGTATAGTGGTTCACCAGCTCGGGAGCTCGGCTAATCCACTCTTTAATGGAGACTCTTGCTCCTTGCCTTTCAATAATGATGATTACAAGAGTACAATGGCTAGTTTTTGCCACTAGGGTCCTCCCTTTTCTTTGGAGACGTTACATAGTATTTATAGGGCTGTTCCCCATTCAGTGGGATCTTGGCCGAGATTCTTGCCCTTATTTCGTGGGGTTCTCCTTAACTCTAAGAGAATATCTTGGTTGGTTGAGATTAGGTATCTTGATTATAGCTTCCTAACGCTTTAGGAACCTCTCATGTTATCCAATCGTTGTCTTGCCTCAAGAGGCATTAAGTCATTGCCTTCTGACCTCAGTTAATATGGCTGACCTCCCAGTCTGAGCTGAGCTCCTAAGCTAGCACTTGGGATTTGCTTTAGGCATCATCAGTTGCCCCCAACCCTTGGCCCAAGCGAGCTTGGGCATGGGCTGAGCTACTCTCGCATTGGACCAGGCCTGCACCTAGCTGACCTTCGTCCGCGTAAGAGATGCACGTGGAGGGGCTCTTTGACGGTTTACAGCAATCATACTTCCTCGATTCCCATGTATGTATCAGCCCACGTCACTCAAGCTTTAAATGCTCAATCGGCTGCTCAAAAAACCGCTCAAAACTCCCTGCTCATCTTCTACGCTGTTCACCTTTGTCTCAGGCTCTTTCTCTCGGCGATTTCTGGGCTTTCCTCCACACGATTCTCTTATTCTCTGTTCAAAACTGTGCTTTCTAGGTTGACTCAAAGTCCTGTTTTCCTCTTCTCCTCCAATTTTGTTCTTTGGCTGCTGTTTGTTGCTCTCTTCCCTATCTAGGTACGCTTCCTTCTGCCCCTTTCTCTTTCTCTTGCCTTTCCTCACTCTGGATCCCTCGACTTTGAGGTGGCCATTGTTTTTCTAGATTTTTTGATTCTTTTTCTTTTGGAATCGCGATCGTTGCCTATCTCCTCTTCCCCGCTTTATTGATTAGAACTCCATTGTGCGAATTCTTACTGTTGGGAGGTACAGTGCTGACCCTAGGATTATCAGGGGGTGTTTAGTTAGTATTCCTCCTTTTTATAATTCTTTTAATTTGCCTTTCTCTTTGCCAATCATGTCTCCCTCCTCTGGAGCAACTCCCTCCTCTGTTTCCCTCCTAGGCGACAGGTCTACCGAGAGAGATTCTGATTTAAGGGATGTAGGTGATGAGATTGACAACTTCCCGGTGTTGAGGCTGTCGATACCGAAGTGGACTCCAAGGAACTCCCCTTATCTTCCTCTCATGTACCTCCTAGTGCTGACAAGGGTAAGGACAAGGTGAGTGAGGTTGGGATTCCTGATAGTACAGCGGGTATAGGGGCTGCCTTCAAGCATACTGAGCTCGTGGGTCCCAATGGGGTGGATCCTATTCTCATGGAAGCTCTTAGTGCTCATTTTGGTTTTTCCCCTGGTGTTTAGCCCTGGTGTCCAGATAAACTCACCCGATACGTTGCCTAAGTACACAAAAGAGGTTGTTTCTTTGTGGCCGCTTTCAAGAATGGCCTTCGTTTCCCTATGCACCCCTTCATCAAAAATGTTCTGTAGCACCTCAATGTCTGCCCTGCTCAGCTTTCTCCTAACTTCTGGGGTGTTTTAGTGGGTCTTTTAGTTTTCTTTAAGAAGCATGGGCTTGGGACTCCTACCATTTCTCTACTTATGGACCTTTTCAATGTCAAGCTTACCTCAACTGAGGGCTTTCTATATGTTTCTAGGCGGACCTTGTCTAGGTAGATTATCACACACCTCCCGAGTTCTCATAAAGACTGGAAAAAGAATTTCTTTTTCATTGGGGGTGTCAACTGGGAATACAACCCTGCTGATAAAATAGACACTCTTGGGATTCCTAGAGCCTAGTCAGCCCCAGATAACTTTGGTGAGTTCTTGCCTGACTGAACTGCGGTTTGAAGATTTATGAGTAGCTTTCCTGACCTCTGCATCTTTGGTGTTCCCTATTTCTTAGGCATTCGACCTGAACTCAGCGTCGAGGACAAGCGGGTGAGACTGAAGTTGGCTAAGTATAATCCAGAGAGGTACTTTGAGCTCCTTAACCCCTGGGAATTAGAAAGGCAAGGATTCGGCCCTCCTTCAATCCCACTTTCCTTTATCCGACCTGAGGACGTAGAAGGTAATGTTCTTTCCCTTATTTGGTTTCATTGTTTTTCTCCCTTTCTTTTTTCTTTTGACTAACCAACTAAAGCCAAATCTCCCAGGGTCTTCTACAATGAAGCCTACCCCTGAGATGCTCCAAGCTAAGGTAGAGCTATTGAAGAAGAAAAACAAGGGTGGTACCAAGCGCAAGGCTGAGGGCAGTTCTGGTGGAGCCTAGTTACTTGAGCTAAGGTTCAAAAAATAGGTACTTCCTCTGCCTCTGCCTCTATCCAGAAGGCTCCATCATCCCCCCTACATGCTTCACCAACCTCGGGGCTTCCTTTCCCCCAAGGGACCCGACCTGCCACTAAAGATGCTCCTGGACGAGACCAGTCCTCCCCTTCTGCATCTGAAGTTG